TTATCGGATATCATCGATTAGTACTTGGTACCATACCTACGCTTACAACGAATGGACCGAGAATGGTCATCTCAGCTGGTCATTTAGTCCTTCAGTGTCCTTTTAAAAGGTTAATTAACTTACTAATGCTGAAACTAATTAAAGGTGGGGCTCTTTTAAATTCCCGAATGCGTTGTTTATGTTAAAAAATCATTATTGATATGTCTATTTAAAAATATATTGTATCGCCTGGAAAGAACAGAAAGAAAGAAACACCCATTTCAGTTAATTTAGTTTTCAGCACGAAAATTAGGGAAAAGCTCACCGGCGAAGTTTCCGGATCGATTTGTCGCAACGCATACAAACCAGCATTTGATATCATATCAACTCACAATATAATATTGTCAAAACAAACTCTTTTGCGGTTTTTGAAATTTGAACAGCTACCAGCTATGATAGGTTGACAGCGTATTCGATTTATCGACTCCAAGAAAATTAAGAACTGTTATTACAGGTTCATTGTGCAAATTAGAGGGAAAACTTGTGGTTATTTTCTTATCATTTTTGACAATTTAACAATTATGGATGTCATATTCTAAGCTAAAAATTCAAATTACAACTTACAACAATAGCATACCTTTCTGTGCTTATGAAACTACTTCTATCTACTGGAAATGTTAAATCCTGTGGTTCGGCAAGGATATAAACAGAACATACTGTCCTACTTAAAAAATTCTAACGAACTTGGCATGACGCTCCCTGTGCTTGTTAGTCCGATAATTGGAGGATGTATGTAAAACTCCATTTCGTGGCATGCGATTGTAAATTTGACGGATTGTATGTTGGTAATTTCATAAACTATAGGCAAAAAACTATGTAGAAATTATTAAAACAAATAGTATAACTACAAATTAGATCGCGCTATATCAGTTTTCAATTTGTATGATTTTATGATGCTGAGAAAAATGTAATTGATTCTGAATGGGAAGGAACCATGCCCATTGCCCGTACTGTATTCACTAACAAACTATACAAAGAAAAGAATGGAAACGTGACTGGCTACAGTGTCCGCTGCTATATTTCAGTCACTATTTCGCATCTTGGCCTTGCAAAAAATTTATAAAACGCTTTATGATTTCCTTGAAATCGAGAAAGTAACAATAGGACATACACTCTTTGCTTCGCTTCGATTTGTAATATTTTGTAAGGAAATCAAAAAGTAAAGTTGCGACAGTGACTTCACCAGAGCCAAGAAACGTCGAGCTTTCGCTTTTCACTTTGTAAAAATTTTCTTTAACAGAACGAATATGTGAATTGGCTTCTATCATTCATCTAAGTAATGAACAAACATAAATTCAACTTAACGATTTTAGCATTTAAAACAGAATGACATATTATACATTGTTGCTATAGTTAACAGTAACAGAAAAAATATTTTAGAAAGAGCAGAGATGACAACTTACCTATTAAAATCCTTATTCCAGTATGTTCACTCCGATATAACAGCTTCCGTGGACGTTTTTCTCTCAAATGATTATCTTTGAAGAAAAACATTACTTCTTATTAGTGAAAGGTGATGCAAATTACCATTGTAATGTAATAGGCGAGAACTGGCGGTCCAAAAATCAATATTATATTTCCTTATTATCAACACCTGGGGACACTGTTTATATACCAGCGGTAAACAAAACATAGTCCGGTAAGCTATATCAAACCCGTTTCAAATCTTATACTGTTATATGTCATGTCAAAATTTGAAAGTATACTCCATGGATCCATTCAATAAGGAAAAGATGATGTGAACATTTGCCTCTCTAGAAAAAGGATTGTTCATGATCATAATATTATATTTTGTATATTAATTAATGAAACATAATGCTGCCATATAAGGTACAATTTGATCATTTCATTCATAACCACAGTAATTACTATCTCTCATTTCAATAAAATCTCGTATGGCTCATACGGATCTCATGTCTTGTCCGTCAACAGTTTTAATGTGTATATAATATTCGTCGCTAATAAAACTTGAAAGCTTTTCAAAAATAATAGTATTTACAAATATTGTACTTATAGGAAATATAATTCCGGTTATTGCATAATGTAGACTGACTACCATGAACGTTTAATCTACCATTGTACTTAATAATATTTATTCTCATTTTTTAAGGTACCATGATTAANACTTGATGAAAAGTTTATGAAACTAGATAAACTGGAATATTTCTGGCACATTATCATATGTAACATATACTGTGTGCCCCTGGTGA